GTTTTGCTCAAAATTCGTATTATGATTCTATATATTCACCAGTAGCAAGGCTAACTACAATTCGAACTTTATTAAGTATAGGAAATCAATTTTCTTATCATTTTAGACAACTAGATGTAAAAACTGCTTTTTTAAATGGCGTGCTTGATGAACCAATTTATATTTATTCCCCGAAAGGTATGGAACTTCCTTCTGATAAAGTCTTGAAATTAAATAAGTCTTTGTATGGTTTGCGTCAGTCATCAAAATGTTGGAATAATGAAATAAACAATTATTTACTAGATATAGGTTTCAAAAGGTCAGAAAATGATCATTGTTTATATGTTTTGAATTATAATAAGAATAAATTGTATTTACTAATGTATGTTGATGATTTTATATTGGCAGGGGAAACTTAAATGAAATTAATATTATTGTAAACAAATTAATGCAACGTTTTGAGATGAAAGACAAAGGAAACCTTGAACATTTCTTAGGACTACAAATTGATTATGACAGAGAAAAGGGCATTTTAAAACTGACCCAATCAAATTATATTAAGAAAATATTGAGTAAATTCAAAATGGAAAACTGTAAGAGTGTAAACACTCCTTTAGATCCAAAATTAAAATTAGATACTAATGGTGATTTGATATCCGATAAACCAGTTAGACAGTTAATCGGGTGTTTAATGTATTTAATGTTGGGGACACGTCCAGATATTTGTTTTTCTTTAAACTATCTAAGTAGATAGGTTTGGACCTATTTAAAGAGAATACTTAGGTATTTGCATGGTACGATTTTTCTTGGTTTGGAATATAATAGACAAATAAATGAACAAGGTTTGCTTTGTTTTGTAGATGCAGATTGGGCAAACGATATAATCGATAGAAAATCTGTCACAGGGTTTTTATTTAAAATTTTTGGTAACAGTGTCTCTTGGTCAACAAAGAAGCAGCACTGTATAACTCTATCTACTACAGAGGCTGAACTGGTAGCATTATGTTATGCTGTTGCTGAAGGACTTTGGTTCAAAAAATTATTATTTGATTTTAATTTAGATATAAAAACCATCACATATTTTGAAGATAACCAGGCTTGTATCGCATTGATTAAAAATCCAAGCAATAATAAAAGGGTTAAACATTTAGATTTAAAATTTAAGTTTGTTTGTGATAATTTGGAAACGAAACATATCGACTTAAAGTACATTGACTCGAAGTCACAACAAGCAGATATTTTTACTAAAGGTTTAAGTTATGTTTCCTTCTCAAAGTTATCATATGAGATAGGTTTAAGAGATTTTAGCGAGGGGGGGTGTTGAGTGTAACGCTAAAATAAGCCTTCTCTTTGAAAATATGTCATCTGTCATATGTCTGACGACTTCCTGTATGATGTGATTAAGAGTGGAAAAATCCGAAAAAAAAAAACAATTTCCAAATAGAATTTCGATTAAAAAAAATGGTTAATAGACATAACTGCACACTTAAGTACCAATATGTCCTTTCTGTTGATTGGTTATTTTTTCCAAGTCAAGATTTCAAAATTGTATTTTTTGAATGGTCTCTTCATAATTAATTTAGTGGGTAATCAAACGTCAGAACATTATGTATCTTTATTGTGCTCTTATGTCGATTGACCATTTTTTTAAGTTGAAATTAGAATGAAAAATGTGTTCTTCAAACTTTGACCAACTCTGGGGTCTTATTATATTAGAGGGTCAAATGTCGATATATCATTTTAAACATTTTTGGATCATAATTGTGTCTCCCTGACGATGGATAATTTTTTTAAATTTAAAATTTCCCAGAACTTCTGTTTTTTATTTTCATCTCTTGAAATTATATTTAGGGGTAATTAAAAATATCTAATGAGTGGTCAAACATGGTCAAAAATTGATCAATCCTATGGTGCAATCAGTTTTGAAAAATATCAACTTTGGGGGGTCAGCGGGTACTCCTTTATTTTTTATTTGAAGGTGGTCAAAAAAAAGTTACTGGATCGTTAAACATGGTAACTAGATTGTCAAATGCATGTTGTTTTAAAACAAAAATTTTCACATAGTTACTGGTTTATAATAATAAATAATAATAGAGAAACTCGAAGTACGAGCTGTCTCAAATATTTTCTTCACATTAAGGATTTGAGTTCCCGAAAATTACGCCTGAGCTGGATTCTACTTTAGGCGAGTCTGTGGTCAAAACATGGGTTGCACAATTTAAACGTGACCCTACAAGCACTAAGGATACAGAGTGCCCAGATAGGCTAAAATCGGCTCGCAGGAAATGAGTACCATTTCAAATCGCCAGAACCTGACGGTATCTATCCAGCCCTACTTCAGTGGGGTCTGAAAGAACTCACACCGCTCCTGGTGGGTATATTCAGATCCTCGTTGGCTCTGAGGTATATCCCCATAAAATGAAGAGAGGTAAAAGTGCTATTAAATCCAAACCTGGATGGATGGATTACACTGTCCCAAAAACATACCGACCAATTAGTTTCACATCGTTTTCCATTAAGACATTGGAAAGGCTATGCGAAAGGTACATAAAGGATGCGGTGATTACAACACCACTACACCCATACCAACATGCATACACCCCAGGCAGATATACTGATTCATCCCTTCATCTAGTTGCTGGCCTGATAGAAATATCCCTGGACAATAAGGAGTCCGCCTTGGGTGTTTTCATATACATAGAAGGTGCTTTTGATAAAACCACCTTCCCAAAGATAATACACTCACTAGCCAATAGGAATGTTCCACAAATGGTTAGTGGGTGGATACATAACATGCTCTCAAAGCGAGCAGTAAACATAAGTGTAGAAGATGTGAATATAAGAGGCTTGGTTGCGAGGGGATGTCCACAGGGAGGGGTGCTATCACCTCTACTGTGGAATATGGTCCTCAACACCCTCATCAGCCGCCTTAATTATGACAGTCACTACACAATAGCATATGCAGATGACCTGGTCATTCTGCAAACAGGGAATTTTGAGAACATACTCTGCGAAAGAATGCAAGTAACTCTAAAAATTATAGAACAGTGGTGTAATATGGTCTACAGATGGTTAGTGGGTCTGGTTGTGAGGGCATATCCACAGGAAGGGGTGCTATTACAGGTTCTGTGGACCATGGTCCTCGGCAGCCTCATCAGTCGCCTCATCAGCCGCCTCAATAATGATAGTCATTCCACAATAGCGTATGCACCTGGTCATTCTGCAAACTGGAAATTTTAAAAACCTACTCTGCGAAAGAATGCATTTAGCTCTTACAATTATAGAATAGTGATACAAGGACTATTTACTGTCTATCAATCCTAAAATCCTAAGAAGACAGAAATGGTCCTTTTCACAAGAAAAAGGTTGAAAATGAAATTAAAACCTCCAGAACTCCTAAACACAAAACTAAACTTTGCAACAGAGGTGAAGTACCTAGGTCTTACTTTTGACAGCAAGTTAACATGGAACTCGCATTTAGAAAACAGAGTTAAAAGAGCATACATAGCTTATGAATAATGCCGCCGAACCGTGGGGCGCACGTGGGGTTTCTGCCCCAGAGTCGTCGCATGGACTTTCACGGCTATCATAAGACCTATGCTAACATACGGTGCAGTTGTCTGGGTACCAGAAATCCAAAAATTGACAGCTATCCGTAAACTAGAACAAATTCAAAGAACAGCATGTCTCAACATAACAGGAGCCATAAAAACAACACCGACTAGAGCCATGGATGTCATTCTTAGTCTCACTCCCCTTGATATTTACATCAAGGAGTTTGCTCTGACGACAATGACACGCCTCCGCACGGTCGGAATAGAACCTGATGTAGGATCTGGTGAGGCGAGACGTCACTTTTGGCAGGAGGCGCTGGATACGCTCCCACTGCTTCAAAATATAATATTTCATAAGCCATATAAAGTTATAATAGAACAAATAGAAGAGCCAGAAGTGGCAGGTACGATTCATATCTACACCGACGGTTCTAAAAGAAAACAAGGCTCAGGATGTGGAGTATACTCCAGATTCTTAAACCTAAACATAAAATGGGCTGTGAGCAATAGCGCCAGTGTAGTTCAAACAGAGCTAACAGGAATTCTCATAGCAGCAAAAGAAATAACCAGAAACAATATCACTGGAAGGAACATGCTCATCTATATAGATAGCAGACAAGCACTGCTCACCCTGAACAGACCACGAATTTATTCAGGGTTAGTACTAGAATGTCACGAAGCTTTAGCTGAAGTATCTATCAACAACGTGGTCACCTTAAGATGAATTAAAGGTCACGCCATATCGAAAGGTAACCGTCTAGCTGATTCACTAGCCAAATACTTTTTGGACCTGGCCCTTCTATTGGCCTGACAAAATCGGTAGTGACAGACCTAATTAAAGAACATTCCCTTGTGAAATTCAAGGAAAGATGGGATGAAACAAGAAACTGCAGAGTTGCCAGGGAGCTCTTAAGTTATCTTGACAACACTGCAGCAAACAAATACTTGACTATGACTAGACAGAATCTGCGCCTAGTCACAGGCATTCTGACTGGTCATTGCCAAGTACGAAAGCATCACCATATCATGGGGCTGTCAGAATCCGCACTCTGCAGAGGGTGCAAACAAGAAGATGAGACCATCGATCATATCCTTTACGATTGCTCGACGCTCTCATTTATTAGAAGATTTGTGTTCGGCGAGTATCGGCTAACACCGGCCGATATAAGAGAAGCACCTCTTGGCGATGTTGTCAACTACATTAAATATGTAGGCTGGCTCACGAGCTACGAGGTGCCTATCTTCTCAGGAGGATGCATAATGGGCCTAATGAGGCCTAAGTGCCGTGGGGTAACCCACCCTCCACACATTACAGATACAGAATGAGTACCATTCCTTGCTCGTTAAATAATATGCTATTAGGTCGGTTTTTAAATGGAAATATTTCGTATTCGTAAAACTAATGTTCAGTAAATATATTGAACTTGTAAGTTTTCAGTTACAGAATTTAAATAGGTAGGTACTTACTTTTGGAGAAAATATGTTAATGAAAAGACAATCCTCATCCCCGTCAACATTGTCAGTCGTCATCTGAAGGCAATAACTACGTTCTTCCGTGCCATTAATTATACCATCCCATGGTTCCTTTGGTATAGGTGCCTATAATACGAATCTAAGTTATTTAATTTTATTTGAGCAAAAATTACTAAGGTAATCAAAGATTTGACGAATTATTAGTAAAAAAATTATACATTTGAAAATACCTCTCTGTTTCATTTTTTAAATTTATTATTGTTTAAAAAAATATTCTACCATCAAGAACCTGATTTTCAATTAAGAATGGGGCATAGAACAACTAAAGATTCTCTGGTTAAAAGCATGACGATTAAACGAAACATACTTTAATAAAATTATACTCGTTTCCGAAATACAGGGTGTTAAAGTTTAAAATTCAAAAATGATTAAAGACTATATATTTTTTATTACTCAATATAATTTTACTAAATTCGGCGGCAAACGTTTTTGGTGTCATTAGATAAACATATCAGCAAAATAAATCAGTTAAATATACTTTGTCAGTGGCGTACGACATAGGTAAATAACACCTTCATCCCATCTAAATTTTGTGCCACTGACCAAAAACTTATTTGGATTATATGTTTTTTTTTTACATAAATTATGTGCTCTTGGCAAATTAAAGTTAAAGTGATTGGTTTTCGAGATATTCGCACACAAAAATGGATGCTTTTTATTTTAATTTATTTTATTTTGAATTTCTGAAATTTTTAAATTTTTTTATAAATTTTTAATTAAAGTACATAATTTATTAAATAAAATATTTAAAATTATAGCCCGAACAAGTTTTTGGACAGTGGCGTATAATTTAGAGAGTATGAAGGTGTTATTTACCCATGTCATACGTCACTGGTAAAATTTATTTAACATATCTTTTACTGTTTTTTACTGAATTTAATAAAATTATACTGAGTGATAAAAAAATTATAGCCATTAATAATTTTTTAATTTTTAACATTAACACCCTGTAGTTTGGAAACGAATAACATTTTATTTTGAATCAGATAATTTTCAGTTTTTATGTCCCATTCTTAATTGAACCCTGTACATAATAAATTGTAAAATATTACCTGAAATCTTAATTCATTGACTGGAGGTTCAGCAAATGGTACACCTTGGAAAGAATATAATGTCACTCCAGTGATGGTTGTTCTGGTTTTACCCAGTACTCGTCCAAGGGGAAAATCCAACAGATACTCATCTCCAATCTTAAAAATTATTTTAAATATTTAATGTTGTTTTATTAACAACTTCATTATTAAAAATTTAAATGATACATGTGTTGTTTATTTTCACAGTAATGATCCGCCTTTCAAGTCATTTATGAAAGTCTTAATGAAATTTAAAACTTTTCCTTTCGATTCCAAATTTAGGAGGAAGAAAGAAAATACCCCCTACAATTTACGGCCACCTCTTTTAAAAAAAATTTCAGCGTAACAATAACTATTATATTTATTATCATTTTGTTGCAGATAATCCTTATTTTTTAATGAATTCGTAAATGTTTTAATAACTCCGTGAAATTTATGTTTTAAATAAAAAAATAAACTAATGACTTTTTTAGAAACGATATTAAATTCCACAAAAAAACCTTGTTTTCTAAAACAATTTTCGGAAACAAATTGTGTATAAACTTTTAAATTTTAAATTTTCTTAAAAATTTTTCAAATGTATATTTTTCATAATGTATTATTTTTCTATATATGAATCAATTTTTTATCACAATTAATCAGTACATTCGGAAATGTTTGTTGATAGAATTTATTTTGGAATCAGTATAAAAAAAATCTGATGTGTCCAACACATGACTTTCCTATCTAGTTATTATAGGCTTTTTCCGGTTATTTTGTACAACCTATTGCAGCATCTCTATAAATGTTTAGAGGATAAACTAAATATATACATTGTCCACATACATCTATCTACCTCGAAACATTTTTCTATAGATATTCATTGAAAACGAAAATACTGAAAAATTTAAATTTAGCACTTATCCATTACGGTCCATTTTAGAAAAATCATGTATAAACAAAAATTATAGAGATCGATATGCTGGAATACACATGATTTGCCACAGTTGTACAATTAATTATAATTTCAAATAATTTTCAAGCCTATTGCCTATGTTCAATTTTCTACTTCTAGTTGATAATTAACTTAACAAAAGTTTCTGTCAATATTTTTAAAATTATAGAATTGTTCTCATTATTTACCTAGGTGTTTTTTTATTATCATTATTTACCTAGGTGTTTTTTTATTATCATTATTTACCTAGGGTGAGAAATATTACTTATCGTTAGGGGAATGGAGTGAATAATAGCAATTTCTCAGGTTAGTAGTAAAAAAAAGATTGTTGTACATTTGGGAAAATCTTGGAATAGTTTTAAATATATGTTGCTTAATCAAAGAAAATGGTACCCGACTTTTTTTGAAAATTCGGAATTTTTTTTTTATAGTTAAGATAGTTTGTACCCTTCACAAAAAACGGGTACTTACAGGACCAACATCCTAAACAACTCGCATAGTAAGCTAGAATAGTTTGTTTTAGTTGTAGAAGAGTATGCGGGAAAAACATGCATACTACACCAGTGTGGCATTAAGATAAACTATACTATTAAAACTCACGCCACTGTACATCTTCCTACAAGGAGAAACCAGGCCCGTTATTCACAGGTCAATTCAGGGACAAAACAGAATAAGCCAACTTCGTGACGTTGACCATACAATACCCGATCAGCAAATAAAAAAGGATAAGATTCTAAGAATGACTACCGATATAAATTTGAAAGAATCTTACAACTCAAAATACCAACACAAGAATCCTGGTAACAAGGACCTCCCAGACAATTCTAAAACGCCGGTGCTGGAATCTCTGGAATCAAGTCGAAAACAACAATTTCACTGGGTCTAGAGGCCCCCATTCGCGAACACGCAAAATGTCCAAATAGGGTGACTGCATTCCAAAATCCTTCCGTGAATGTTGAAAACTTAATGTATAGGCGTGGCGTGGTAGTTTTGCTAGGTATCCAGTCGTCCTAAACATCCAACGAACTATGGTAGCAGTCTGCGGCATGGACGCTGTATAAATGGGAAACCCCGAGTTGGTTGCGCACTACACAACACAAAAACTACATTATTCACGCATCCATTTAGAGTGACCGTGACTTAACAGTTTCTAAACGTAAAATCCATTTGAATGCCGTCCAAACGGATTTATTCCATTTGGAGTGATATGCAACATGCAACAGTATTTCATAGAAGACTGTGCAAGAAAAATATAAATCAGCAGTGATGAATCTTCTATTGATGCGGTTGATGCGTCGCATCCATTTAAAATATTGTCAGCTAATATTTTTTTATTTGAAATATGGATTTGAGACATGGATTAAAGGCCAACGAATTAACCCAAGAATGATCAGATAAGGGCACGAAATGTTCTAAAACCTTTTACTAAGTCATTGTGAAAGGCATCCACCAAACAATAAATGCAAAAAGTCTTAGGAATAATGGAATAAGTATCCACCATTGAGAACATGCTTAAGAGTTCATTAAGGAACCATCGGCTAAGTTAACGAAATATCTACTGGATCAAAAACCTCAAATCGATAAGATAATACCAAACATTGTCGCCTAAGAAGACACATGTCTGTCATCAATCTAGCAGAAGAAACCATATTGTAACAAAGAAGGAAAGAAGCCCCTGTCAAAGCTATATTAAGTTTAATAAAAAATATCAAGCTAGACGACACACTCTAAATAACTCTAAAAAATGGAGTTCCACAATAGATCTCGTTTTTAAATCTAATCTAATCTGGTTCTAGAATCTAAAAAAAAAATAAGACTCGTTGTGACCTAAAAATATCATTTGACGTTTCTGATACATTCATGCAAGAGATAGTTAAATTTTAATATTATTCCAAATATTTCAAATAATTTAATGAGATTATCGCTTAAAATTGGTCATTTACAACAACTACAGAAACAATATCCTAGTGTTTACCATTGTATTTGACAGAATATTTCTCTCGCCTGTCAGCTTTGATATTTTAACCAATCACATCGCAATTTACGTTATCGTTAGAACCAATCAGAACCAAATAAATCGACTGTCTTCACTGATTATATCAAATCGATTATACTTGCATGGTGCTTGGATATTCATCTATGTTGACAGAAACTCGCATACTTGATTATATAGGTAAAATATTTAATAACGGCTACTGGGAACTATATTATTTAGCTTTTAGTGTATCTAAATTTGTGTAGACATAATTTTATCATTAATAATAATCAAAGAATAGAGTCCTCGAGCTAAAGATCTCGGATTCTATTCAGATTATTAATGACACAATTATGTCTCGAAAAATTGATATCAAAAACACTAAAAATGTAGATACACTAAAAATAGTCGACTATTTATCAAGGTCTCGTCGTATTACCCTTGATCTAACCTTAAAATTCTGCGTCAATATTTGCGATGTGATTGTTATATGAAATAACGACTTTTTAAAGTAATTCGAAAATAAAATTTACGTATTCTGTTTCTCTTTTTTTTTTTCACTTTTTGTACCACTAGCTCTTGAAACACACCTTTTAAAATAACAACACACTTCCGGTGCAATAACTTTAACGTTGTTAATCATAGAGGTAAATTAGGCCTTGTTCAATGTAGTAGCGGCGCACGTCGCGATGCCATAGCATTACTTCGAGCGACGCAATTGATATTTCAAAGTAAGAAGCTTGTTCAGAGAAGGAACGTTGTATCGAGCGTTGCGATTGGTCGAATTTTTGATAATAATAAGCTGAAGTTAATTTTTAGTTTACAAAATGGTTCCGACGGGAGCTTTTCGATGGTTTTTGTTACTGGAGACGCCGTATCATACGTTTAAATGATTAAACAAAAAAGTCGAAATACACCCTATAATAGGGAAAGGAGCTTGTTTGATGAAGTATCACTTCAGTGTATAGTTTATCTCACAAACGATTATTTTTATATGAAGCCAGCTTTGTGTTTCATAACGCGGGTCTTGACTGGATTTCTGTAATCAATATTTCGTCTATATCCTCGCTTAAAAACATTGTGGCCTCTGATCGCTATTACGAAGCAACAAAAAAACAAAATTCCGTTTGTTTTCGTCGCTGGCTCTGGTTGGCAACGTGATGCACCGCATCGCTGGTCGCTTTCGCTCTGAACGTTTGCGTTTGGTAACACTAGATAGATTATTTTAACGACGACGCGTCGCTCAACGCAACGCTATCGCATCGCGACGCACTGCACTCCTACTCTGAACAAAGTTTTAGTCATAGGTTAAAATGTGCTGCTAAATAACTACACGTAATCAGAAGTATAACACGAATAATTTTTAGGATTCTATGTTAGTAATACACGATTTATAGTTACTTTTAGTGATGCTACGAGACAAGATGAGACGAGAGAGTGGCCTCTCTCATCTCGTCTAGTAGGGCGAGAGAAAACTATTCTCTCGTCTCGACGAGAAGGTGCTTCTCTCGCTCGAGAGAGCCTTTCTCTCGTCTCGTCTCGTCTCGTCTCGTCTCGTCTGGTCTCGTCTCGTCTCGTCTCGTCTCGTCTCGTCTCGTCTCGTCTCGTCTCGTCTCGTCTCGTCTCGTCTCGTCTCGTCTCGTCTCGTCTCGTCTCGTCTCGTCTCGTCTCGTCTCGTCTCGTCTCGTCTCGTCTCGTCTCGTCTCGTCTCGTCTCGTCTCGTCTCGTCTCGTCTCGTCTCGTCTCGTCTCGTCTCGTCTCGTCTCGTCTCGTCTCGTCTCGTCTCGTCTCGTCTCGTCTCGTCTCGTCTCGTCTCGTCTCGTCTCGTCTCGTCTCGTCTCGTCTCGTCTCGTCTCGTCTCGTCTCGTCTCGTCTCGTCTCGTCTCGTCTCGTCTCGTCTCGTCTCGTCTCGTCTCGTCTCGTCTCGTCTCGTCTCGTCTCGTCTCGTCTCGTCTCGTCTCGTCTCGTCTCGTCTCGTCTCGTCTCGTCTCGTCTCGTCTCGTCTCGTCTCGTCTCGTCTCGTCTCGTCTCGTCTCGTCTCGTCTCGTCTCGTCTCGTCTCGTCTCGTCATGAAAAAACGGTAAAATTTGTAAGACAAAAACAAATAATTTTTCAAGTAATTTGCGCATTAGTACTTTGACAATAAGAAACACTTATGTCTCTCTGTCTCTCCTTCTGACACAGTCATTTTACAATTGAAATTGTAAGTAATAAGTGGTCCAGATTAGGCGTTAACTAAAAACGAAAATACTTTGTGTTGTAAGTCAGTTGGGGAGGGGGGAAGAGGTTAAATTGGAAGATAGAATTCTTCTAATGCAATCCTGCGATGTCAAATGGAAGCATTTTGTAGTATGTTTTCAAAATGCAAGAAGATAGAGACATAAATCAAAAACGATGTGAAATTAGAGGAACATTATGATATTTTTGTTATAATGAGATGCACTTTACTTGAGACGTAAAATAGAGGGCATTACTATCTTTAAATTTTCTAGTGGAAAGTAAAGTCATTTGAAAGATATTTTGATTATATATATGTCCAAGCAAACAGTTTAATTTTTTTTTTGTTTTTACAAAAATTACATTCTTAATAATCCTCTTGTGCAGCAATAATCCTAGAAATGTTAGATAATGTTAGAAGATAATTTTTTAATAAGCTTTTTTTGCCGAGAAATTATGAAAAAATTAATACGTCAAATGGTGTTTAAATCACCTTTGATATTCTTAATTTATTTATTTTAGTAAATACAAGAAGCGTTTCCTGAGTAATAATTGTTAATACGAGAGTTATCAAGAATGTAACTTATTAGTAAAGGCCCAGAACATGTCTGTATAAGAACAAAGTACCAGCTACAAAAAATTGCATTTGTGCAGTGTTAAATCCCTCTAACAGTAAAAAATTACTTAAATTTATAAAAGATACTGATATTTACTATGTACTAGTCAAAATGGTTATTATCCATTGTATACTATTGTAAAAAACAGCATTTATAAGGTATTAACCTCCGGTAATGATCCTTTGAGGTTGAAGCGGTAAATAAAAAAAATAATTTAACCTACTTTATGAATTTATTTAATGTAATTTGTGTAAAAACCTAAATCTGTTTACATGAATGTGAAAATATAGAAAATGTCTTCCAAATGAGGTATCACATGACCCTACTTTCCATTAGAAAATTTAAAGCTAGTAACTTCCTCTATCTTACGTGTCTCAAGTAAAGTGAATCTCGTTAAAACAAAAATATAATATCTCTTGCGTTTTACCTCATTTTTGTTTTTTTATTATCCTTTTTCATTTAGAAGTTAAAATAGATGAGGGTACAATTTTCGTCCTCACTGTATATGATACATTCGTTTGTATTACCTTTTCTTTGACAGTTTTTTTCTTAAAAATTTTCAACTTATCTTCAAAAGTAACCTCAGAGAAGCAGAATGGATTAATATAAGAAATGATTGTATACATTTTAAATAAATGAAATGAGAAATATTTTTCTTATAAATTACTATTTATAAAATCCTAATAAAACAAGTATCATTTGTTACCATTTGATATTATATAGAATAGGTGTGTTATAGTTAATTTTTTGACTATCTCGAAATCTAATATGTTAAAATTTTAAGTTACGATAAGCAATTGAATATTTCAAATAAGCAAAGAGAAAATTGTTCGAGAGAGCTTGAGAGAGCTCGAGAGAAACGAGAAATTCTCGTCGAAAGATGATACTCTCTCGCCTCGTCTCGAATCTGTTTTCGAGAGAAAATGTCTCTCTCGTTTCATTCGAGACGAGACAGACAAGACGAGACGAGAGACGAGAATCTCTCGTCTCGCGGCATCACTAGTTATTTTAAGTGAGAAAAATGAAAATGAATCACTAATTAATTGAAACATGACTTTTTGAAATAAAAGATAAAGCTGCAACTAACCTGCAAATAAAAAAAAACTGGAAGTACCTATGTCTATAATAATATTTATAAAATTAGTAAATGTTCAGTGGCTCCTGTGCGCTTATACAGATATCTTTTTTATACACAAGAGTGAAAAAGTTATGATAAAAAAAATAAACGTAATTTTTTAGTAGCTGTACATTAGGAACTAAAAAATAAAAATTTTACATACCACAAAAGTAAAGCAAATGGAACAAGCAAATATTAGATATAACTGCATTATTTTAAAATTATATAACATTGCAGCATAAAAATAAAAAGACGTTCACATATAAAAATATAATCAAAATAAAATACTTGTGGTTATAATAAAATAATAATATTTGACAGTTATCTAGAGTGTGCGAGATATGACATGTAATCTTAAATCTATGAATCTAAAGTCACTTCAAATTTTACACTACCCATTTTTTTAAAAAATTACCCGTTTTAATTGATAACTAAATGGAATAAAGATTATCCAAAAATAGGTAATTTAAAAAATTAAGCTTCTTTACATCAGTCAGGTAAAAATCAAAATATTACCATCTCAATTTATTTCAACGAGTTATCAATGACAAGTGACGGCCACTTTTTTATCACAAAAAATACAGCTCTGAACGATAATATTTTGAGAAATTGTTTTAAAAATGAGTAAAAAATGGTGGAAAGTCTATAGTTTTGTTTTACTGTTAATGCATAATATTTTAATGAGTGATATTTAACAAATATTTAAAAATTATGAACTTTTCACCATTTTTTATAGTATTTAGAAGCTAAAACGCAAAATACACTCTTTTATTTTTGTTCTATTTCAGAAAACTTGTGTTAAGATTTAAAAATGTACTGGTGCCAATTTGCAACCGTGCTAATTTGATACATACGTTTTACTAAACTCATCGTTACGTATTTGTTGACATTAAGAGATAGAAATTTAAAGTCATGTATTACTTAAATGAAAAATCGTTTTCTAACACAAGAAAAAAGTTGAGTTGGGCCTTAACAGTTTTAGCCCAATGGCATGTAACCGCCCACTCCAGGTCTTGTAGCTAATTATTAAAAGCCCGTATTTTAATTTAACTACCTCCCTCCCCTTGTGAAATTCAAAGTAATTCATACTTACTGTATTTGCTCTTTTCCTCTAGTAGTGTAGTGATCGTCTAGTTAATTAATTGATAATTTATGTACCCACGTTGTGATAATGTTAATTAAAATAAACCAGGATTCGATGCAAAGTTTGGTACAAACTTGTGAATGAAATAATGCTCAAAATATATTTAACTTAATTTATTTTTGTTCTCAAATAAACTCAGTATCTACAAAATTTCTTTTAATATTGGGTAATGAGAAATTGTATGTCATCTAGATAAAAACAATTCTTGAGAATAGACAGCTAACGTCCTCAGAATTGCACTATCTTTTATATAGGTGCGCTTACTGAGATACCGTCGTTGCAATAACATACGGATATCCCTTATGTTTCAGCCTCACCTAGGGGAGTTTTTTGTAGATGTAGTCCTACTAGGATAGTGCTAGTTCAATACCAGCGAACTACCCCTTATGTTCAGATCTACCCACGGTGCGAAGATTGAGAGATAATTATCTAAGATAGTCCAACCCTGTAGTAACATCAAGCATATTCGGATAAATGTGAGTCTAGGTGGAGTCTAGTCACCGATATGTCATTTACCCCAATCAGCTGAGCTGTTATTTAGTAGATATTTGCGAAGGTTCACTGACAGTTCGGTAGCCAGACTCTTATTATCTTTTACGGTGATATATTAATTTGAAGGTAATATGCCCCATGGCATACACATCTGGACGCGCTAAATGCGATGTCGGCGAGTAACAAATTCCTCAAATGTAAAGGTTGATCATTGTTGAATAATAATGAGTTACACAATAATACTCATTATCATTCAACAATAAATTCCCATTTTACAAATTTAATTTGGTTGTTAAGTTATTAACTCACCATCGGATATGCAGACCGTTGGGTGTATATTATCGTCTGTTTCTATTTCAGACATTTTATATTTTTGTATTTGGTACGGAAGCGTTATCTTGTGTCGTGATAGTTAGCAGGGACATTGAGACGTTGGCATCGGAATTTAGAGCGGCGTGACGGAGAGAGAGAGAGAGAGAGAGCGTCGTGACGCATAACCCCAAACGCAGAAAGGTAGAGAAGTAAGGACGTAGGGCGTCAGATGAGATATTGGGCGTTGGATAAAAGAGAATGAGCGTCGAGACGTGGGAACGTTCGGGAGGTAGATCGTCGGGCTTAAGAGCGTCGGATAAAGGTAGGATATGAACTGCGTGGGTTTAGGAAAGGTACTGAACTCGAATTATACTAGACTTGAAGAATAATACGACTAGAGCTTGAAATCAACTGAACTGAGTCTGATTTCTTAATGCCTTCTGAGTCCCCTTAAATCGGATCTTTATACTCGATTTAATACGTTTTTGTGACGTTAGTGAACGATTTTGGGCGGATAGGGGATGGCTGATTTATTAATTGCCTTAAAAAGTTTGTGTATCGAAAATAACGTTCCTATTAAAACTGACTTAAGATAAGTGCGTTAAGAATTTTAATGATTATTACTTCGTACCAACTTATGTTGTATGGTGGGTTTGAATCGAGTTCCCAGACTCTTATAAGAAATTGGATCTCTTACGGCAGGGTTATAGCTATTATTTATTAGGTGTCGAAATTAAGATTTAATTATCTGGGAGATTTTTCGTTAAATGAAGGATTTTGGATTTAATAAGAATGCAACTTTTCTTTAATAAAATGGAATCAATAAATTATTAAAGTACCTGAGTGCGGTTGGTTACAGGCCATAATATCAGGCCTAAAAGGAGAGAAAACTTATAGAGTAGAAATACAAGTATACTTAAAAGACCGTCAGATAATGACAGATTTTACTGACTGATGATCTCTTTTCTGGAATTTAAACCAAAAAACGAAAATAGTAGTAAAACCACCATTTTTTGTGCATTATTTTTGTTTTTATGTATATTTGTTGTGAAGTTTCAATTAATTCTGGAAAAAATATGTATTTTTTTCCTATAAAAAACACAATAAATTATAATAAATTTAAAAAAACGCGAAAACAATACAATTTAAATAGATAAAGTATCAAGTATTATACGTCATTGAAAATGTAATTTTATGGTAAATATGGTAATAGAACTTTCAAGATTTTAATCGATATTGATATATCTCCTAAAACTAGATGAGCACTTACCCTTTGTACAAATTTATTTAAATACTCCTCAAGGTTATCCAAAAATTTTCATTCGGATTAATATGGGTAAAGCTGAGATAGTAAAAAGTTTATTATTAAACTTTAGATTAGGTAATTAGATGTACTTTTTCGGTAAAATTAAGATTTTGTTTAATGTATTTAAATTAAAATTACCAAAACTATAAACCAATTTGTCTCATTTCAGATAATGCAATTAGATTAAATGCATGTTTTAATTGTTCATTTGTACAATTCCTTGCAAAAGAAAAGGGCGAAGTTTCCTTTTTATCTAATACATTAAATTTTTAAATTTGGTCTCAGTTGTGTGTACTCTCAAATTAGAATTATACTTCCCACTCCGGTCCTTATAGAACACACATGTAATTATTTCATTTTATGCAAGCGTATACTATTTTTAAAGAAAACAAACAAATTCCTGCCTCATCCCATCGCCTGTACTTCATTACGCTTTTTGGTGTGTTAGTGTACACCTCGATTAAATTTATAAAAAGTGAATATATTTGTTAAAATGGGAAAAAGAAAGGGAACATGTTCGGCATTGAGGTATAATAGCGGAAATTGTAACTCAAAAATGTATACAGAGTGGAACAAATTCTGTAACTTAATAAATAAAGGTTTGTCGCAAAATTCCAGAAATACATCAATTTTTATTTTCATAGGGACATATTACAAATAGATATGTTTATCTTTTTAATTATCTGGGGGGTTGCAGAAACCCCCAACTTTCTTTTTTAAATGGAAGAGTAGGTTTTATTTGAAAGCTTTTTCAATTACAAATGCATTTTTTTTGTAACTTTTCTTAAGCAATGTATTGGAAAAAATGAAATAAGGAAATATTTACTGAAATTACTTTAATGTATAGTTACATTTTTTTTTACTTGAATTTGAACAGAATGTGATTGATTTGTTAGTACTTGTTTGCATTTCAACGTGTAAATTAAAAAACGAAAAATAAGAAAATGCCCTATTTAAACGAGACGCATCGTATCGAAATTTTAATGATGATCGTATATGGGGACAGAAGTCGAACACAGGCTGAAGTCGCTTGTTTGTTTACTGAAGTTCATCCAGGATTCCGTTCAATTAATCGAAGTACGATTAGCAAAATTGAAACTCAATATCAGGAGTTGGGCCAGTTGAACATATTGTTGGAAGTTGAAGAAAATCCTGTTACTCCAACTAGGCAAATAGCTCGCGTTCATGGTGTCAGCCACACAAGCCTTTTAAAAATTCTTAAAGAAGCCAAAAAGCACCTATATAAAATGCAAAACCTGCACGAGTTTAACGAAGATGATTCTGATCTAGACTCGAATTTTGCGAACGAATTATGGCTTCTATCGGTGGTGGACAAATTGCTTTTGAATTCACCAGTTAGTTAACTTACTATTAAATTTTACCATTTAGGTTTGCGTAATTCATCCAAGATAATACGCTCCTGTATATTTTTAAAATATTGATATTTATAATTTCTATTGAAATGACTCAAATTCACCCATCGAAAAACATATGTTAACTTAACTGTCTTTCGGGGTGAATGCCCGTAGGCCATGTGATTTATTGGGTTACATTGATAATATTCTAAAGCAAATGTCAGACCCTTATTCAAAAGGGAACCCCGGTGATATCTCAATGAAAGTTATATTAACCTTTTCGACTCACCATTGAAAATACAGAAATATTTCTCGTCTAAACTAGACATTATGTACCAATTTTATCTAGTATTGTGACGGCGTCGATTTTGGGTATTTTGGGTACGTCGCAGCTTTGAACGTCGCCTTGAGTCGAGACGCCTAGCGTTGTGGTGGAGAGGAAGGCATTTATTAGAGTACTGTGTCGGGACGGATATAAGATAGGAAATACTTAGGAGGTATGCTGCGCGACGAAGGGTGTCGTCATGGGTATGAAGACTAGAGAGAAGGCAATGGTCAAATTTCAAATCTCCGTTCTTCTTTTTATAAAGTTCGCGAAATTGACTGTAGTTGACATATCAAATGACAGCGGTGTCAATTTTCTATGTAAGTCAATGTAAAATGAAGTGATTTTTTAAAAAATTGTTGAAAAGAATCAAAATAATGTGAGAAAAGTACCTGAGTACAAGTAACATGAGTGACAAAAAACATCAAAGGAAGATTTACGTCGTTCCAGATTGTAAAACAGGATAAAAATAAAATGTAAAACTAAAGAAAACACATAAAGAAATCAATTCAATGTCTTTTTAAAGCTTCTTATGTAAGTAAAATAATGTATTCATGTCTAAATATAATATTTATTGTAAACTAGCCACAATACGTATCTTACGAAGTGTAGTTTATGTTATTACAAGTTTCTATAATATAAAATTTTACAGTCATAGGTGCTGACTTACAAACAACAATAAGTATGCATTAAATTTAACTTAACTAGGAAAGAAAATTTATTTTTTATAGAGTTTTAATGTTAGATAAAGAGTTGCTACTGTTATTTTTTTGTTTTTTTGACCCCAATTGTGTCATTGTAAATGTTTTTTTATAGCATACTAAACGTTTGGAACAGTGGCAGAATATATATCGTTCCTAGTGCCGATAAAGCACTTTCTAGAGATGATGCTGTTCTATAAATAAAAAGGGGAAAGCTGAAATTAAAGGATGAGGTAATATCATGTACATTCCCAAATCTCCCTTTATACTTGTATTATAACAATTAAAAATCTATTAACTGTGTTTTATTTTACTCTTAAAACTATAAGTATATTGGTTCAATTCTATAAAAATTTGCACAAAATTGTTTTCAGCATTTAAGAAAACTTTTCGAATTTGGTCATACATACCAAATTTCTATTTTATATAGATAAAATTAAATAAAGTATCAATTAAAACATGCAAGACTTATTTAGAAATAAATACAACAGTATGTTCTGTGCTTTATTTAGCTATAAACAAATTTATTTTTATTATTTTGACAAAATTATGTATAATTCCCACAAGAAGCCATGTACTTTGAACACCGTATGCTGTACCAGTGCCCATGCGGTTAATTATAGAAACTCAATTAGCATGCGTTTTTTGGGACCGGATTTTGAGTATACCGATTCGCCTCCTTATCTGTAGTCTTCATAGTCATGGGTACTGTAAAGGAAATATTTAGGTAGTTTGACGGGCGGCAAGTGTCGTGAAGTAGGGCGGTGGGACGTTAATTCTCGGGACGTGACAGCGTTCGGGAGATAGGTCGTCGGGACGGATATAACGTAGGAAATATTTAGGTGGTGCGAGTCGTGACAGCGTTCGTGAGATAGGTCTTCGGTACGTAGAAAGGTAGGGCAGTAGGGCGGCAGGACGTTGAGCGTCGGGAGATAGGAGGTAGGTTAGTATATGCGTCGGTTAGAAAGAGCGTCGATTCAGGAAAGGTACTGAATACTGAAATTGAAATATAACTGAATTTGAAAAGCAAATGAATTAGACTGGATTTAATATAATAATTAATATCGAGTTCCTCGGGATTGGGTATTTAAACCTGTTTTATTGACTTTTTGTGACGTAAGTTTGTCGTAACTCCGGTGAGAAAAAAAATTGGGTGGATAAAAAAGGGGTGGTCGATTTATTACGTGCCTTAAGAAATTATCGGAATTTTGTGTCTTAATCATGTCAAACTCGGTGTTAATATTCGAAACTTAAGAAAAGCGCGTTAACTGTTATAATGATTATTACTTCGTGAAAAGAAATATGTTTTATGGATGTATTTGGAATTCATAAATTATGAAGTTACCTAGGCGAGATAGGTTACAGAGTTAACGTAGAAAAGAAACGGCTGCAGCCAATTGATCCAAGAATTCCTAGGTATTTTATAAATTTTATAACAGGTCACTTGACAGTGACAATGAACTAGCTAGAAATAATATCTCCTACGTTACAAATTAGAAAGTTTGTTTAGCATGATGTAATATAGGCATATTTTGATGTTATTAGATTATAACTAAATTAGTTAAATAGCTAAAAGATTATATAATTTGTTATTTTATACTTTTTCTATAGAATGTATAAGAATTTTGATAAAATGTCATTAAAGAAATTTACATATCATTATAAAAAAGGGCATCGAATACCGTTCCCGTGCATTAAACCTCTACATGTGTTCTATAAGGACCGAACTGGGACGTTTAATTTACGATTAAACGACTTATGTGAGGAAGTTTAATCGTAATTGTACGACTAGTCCGGTCTGCACAGAACACCCAAATTGTAAGTGTTTGAGATTTTCTTATCATCAAGGTTTTGACTTATTTAAATGTACATTTTATAGACAGTAACCATGAATATTATGTATTATTAATTTAAAATGGTAATGTCCAATTTTACCGAAAAATGCGAAAAATAAGGAAACAACTTACAAAATATTCAGTAATCAATAGAATCTTTTATTATCAAGCACCATCGTAATTAAATAGTTTTAATAATAATATTATTTAATAAAAGACTACAAATCAACTTTAAGTATGACATCCCTTTCCTAAATCAGCTGGATTATTTAATCAATGATAATTTTCTAAAAGAACTACTTAGGTAATGTAAATTAAAATAATCAAAACAACATTTAAAAGTGAGATATTTTTTTATCATTGCAGAATTTTTATTAATTTATTAACTGAATTCAGAATTTGAATTAAGAGTTTAAAAAATGCACTAACAATAGTTTGTTAATATTGTTTTACAAAATTATAGAATCATATTAGATAATTACTTCCTAGTTTAAATTAACATTCTATTAATTCATTGTAATATGTCAAATAGTTTTCAAGTTCTATTTTCTTCCGAACTTTTCTCAGTGGTAATATTTTGATCGCTGCATTTGTATTCTGATGTTCGTGCATGAAGAAACAATTCCTTATTTTCTGAAAAATAAAAAAAATATATAAAACAAACATTTTTTCATATGTGTGTTACACGTATACGTCTTGTGTTGCAACCTATCGTTGTATTACCCCAGTGTTGCTCCTAACATGTTAATCCGTCATCGTCTATACATGTTTTCACTAAGGACCGATTCCATCGTTGTGTTAAACGAAGTATAAAATGACATTTTTACATTAATAATGTCATTTTAATCTCCGTTTAACACAACGGTGGAATCCTAAGTAAACAATAAATTAGTAGCCAATTGTTTCTCTTGAACCTAATTACTGTGTCCAAGATTTTGCTTTGTTTGTATATTCTATTATTACTGAGGCCAAAGGCCCCTTACTTTCTACACTTTTCTCCATGTTCTCGATCATTCTAAAATTCGTCTAGTCTATGTGTATATATGTGTGCCGACGCAGTAACTCTAGAACAAAAGTGCCGATCGACTTGCGGTGTTGACTTTACATTATAATTTTTTCAATCCAAGAATTATTAAATTTCAGAATTTTCGGTTTAACTTTGAAGCTTTATATATTTAAAAATTATACTTTTCATTAAGCTTATTTTATGCACTACGAACGGGTACTGATTTCACGACTTCGCTAAATAAATTATTTAAACTTGTTTGAAGTCTTTTAAAGGATTTTATTCGAATGGTTGTTTATTGTAAGTTAAAGTGATAGAAAAATACAAAATGATTGTGTTAACTTGATATAAATGTGGACCTTACTTAGAGTTGCCACCTTTTTGAAAAGTGAATAAAGGACTACGATGCTGACAGGGGCTCCGGTATACAAAAACACATCCTTCCACCGAACTTCTAAAAAAAAGGTCGCCGAGCTTGTAACAAAAAAAAAATCCTCCTCCTCATTCTACCGAGCGTCTAAAAAAAAAGTCATCAGCTTATATATTTTTGTACAAACCATGTCCCTTCCAAAGGTATGAGCTGTAAAAAAAATACATTTGCCGTAAAAAGACATTTGGCAACCCTAACCTTACTTAAATAACAAACAGGATGGCGAAGAAAAAAATATTTTTACACGCGTTTTTACGAATTTCAGAATGGAGCACGTATCTGAGTTATTCATGAATATCTGGGGTATGGGGCCAAATATGTTTACATAAGCAATCTTAAAGGGTAAATGACACAAATACTTATACAAGTAGGTAGAGGCGTAGGTGGTAAAGGGACTAAATATTGATATGGATTGATTTAAGGTATAATGGGACCAAATATTTTCACATGAACAGGCTTAAAGTGTAAATGATCCAAATATTATTTCATTTAACATGGGCAGGATTAAGATGTAAATGGCCCAATAATTTTTAACTTGACAGGCTTAGGGGACACTGGGCCCAAATATTTTTATATAGACAAGCTTAAAAGTCAAAAGTGCCGAATGTTTTTGTAAACAATAATTATAAATGTTATTGGCTACAACAGTATCAATGTGCGAGACCGATTCTGCTCTATAGCGCGATGCTCAGTTTTCATCGATACATCCGAGAGAATACCAGAAAAATCTTTGTACACGTACTAATTCATAAAGTAAGAGTTTTCGCTTTGTCCCCAACCGACTAAAGGTACCATTTGGGAAGGCGCGACGGACGACAACAGAGGCGATGGTAAAGTCGACAGATGCATTACCGTTACGCTTCGCACATTTGGAAAGCAAGGAGACATGTTACACGACACCCGCAGACCACAATTCGAGGAAACGATCAGTGTTGCCAGACCTACTGTTTTTAAGTAGATCCACTGTTTTTGTCTCTGTTCTCCTGTTTTAGGCATGTTCGGATTGATGGTTGAAACCGGCTCTGTATGCCAGTCTTAATATTCCGAAACCGACACTGGCTATGTATGTAAAATTTAGGATGCTATACGCTAGTTCGGTGTGATGTCATTTTGGTTCCACTGACATTTAATTCTAACCAAACTTTTAACAATAAATTTGACATATACGTTTTTACTATTTTTAGTTTATTTCTAAATATTGTTTACAGGTCATAAAAAATAGTTTAAAGGTATGTAATTGGTAACTAAAGGATTGTATATTTGATGCATGTTATCTACTTACTTTAGGAATATATTTATAAAAGTAAAAAAAACGATACAATTTAGGTAAACAAAACGCACTCAAAAAAACCACTGTCACTTTAATTGTCAGTGGAATTATAATTACATCATCACTGAACTAGCGTATTGTCAAAGTAACTTGTCACTGAATATATTTCAAAAAACTGTCTATTGTAATTTTTTGGTATAAAAAAATTAAGAGTTCCTTACGAACCAGCATTCTATAAAGGGAGGCTTCAGCCCGTCAAGGCATGAAATTTACTGTTTCCGCCAACTTAACAAATTTTGTTCTTAATTTATTAAGTTTGCCTCATTCTTCAGCAAATGCTCAAAGAATATTTTCTCTAGTAAATTTGCTGAAGTAAAAGCAGCATGAAGCTACCATTTCGGAAGCCGAGGCAGAGACCGACTTCGAAACCCGCCGCGACAGCAAAGGAGATACTAAACGGTCTCTTCACATGAACACATGTAATATTATGAGACACATTTCGGTAGAAGCGACCGACGACTTCAGAATTAGTACGCCAATATTTTCCGCCTTACTTCTGTCTCGGTCTCGCGTCGCTTGACGCGCGTTGCCAAATGGTACCTTAATAAACATCCACTACTGTAAGTTTGCTCCATAAAAAAAACCTCAAGATAATCATTATGTTTTTATTTAAAATGCAACAAAGAATTAATAGGGTATCATAAAAAGAACATGCATGCCAAACACAACGTATTTGAATTATCTGATTCAGACTGATCTAAAAAAAGTAGGTACCTATTATTTTTCATTGGTTTCTTTTTTTGTTTGCGTACGTTAAGTGTATATTAAAAATATTATTTGTTTTTATTATTTGTTTACTTTCTAATTTGGGTAGAAAAATGTTTATTTTCCTACGACCACTTAGGAAAGTGACACATATCACACTATATAGTCCTATGGAAAGTGCCCTATATCACACGCGTATGAATAAGAATTTACTTTCCACCCGAGTGAGAATATGTTACTTTCCGCAGTAGTTGTCACAAAATGTCAAACACCTAATTTCTATTTTGATCTATGTAATGTCCATATTAATACTAAAATCGATATGATTGTTCAATTATTGAAATTGTTGTAAATTAGATCCTAGATATTTATCTTTAACAATTATTATTAAAATAATTTTAAAATAATGTTTGCTCTTTATTCTGGTTAAATACATAACCGATTAGATCATTCAATTGACACAAGGGCTATTAGCTCAGGTGGTTAGGACGTCGAACTTATCAACTTTGCCATTTTTCGACCGCGTTCAAATCCTGGCGGGGCAGAATTTTTTTTTTAATAACCTTGGTTTTGCATTTTTTTGATGACATTATGTTGTGGTCGTAGGAAAAATATTGTACATCACTTGTGTGGAAAGTGATTTTCCACACTCGTGTGACAGTATTTCCCACTTGTGTGAAAAATGTCACTTTCCACACTCGTAATGTAATATACTATTTTCGTTTCTTATATACTTGTTTTTTTATTTACTACACTGCAAATTATAAATATTTCCCCCTGTATTAATATCTATTGTTCAGATCTACGGTTTTTTTTTTCACCCATACTGTTCCAGCAAATGTTCATCTGGCAACACTGCCTAGATCGAAAGAACTTTCCAACTACAATTTCTATAAAATATCGACTAATCACCTCGAAATACAAGCGTTTACTGAGGACAGTGAGGACTGAGTGCGACAGGCAGCAAACGCTTTACCCCGAGACCGATCTAATGTGTTGTCGATATCTCTTGGACTTGTCGCCTCTTGTGAAATGTGTTTTATATAATTGTATGTGAAGAGACCGTTCTTGTTTGCCTTTGCTGTCGCGTCTGTTGACGTCTGACGCGCCTTCCGAAATGGTACCTTAAAGATCACCGACGCAACGAGGACATCATTATGAGATCATTCTACAAAAGCCTTAAGTTGTTTGGAACATAACATTTCTAATATAAATAGACTCTTTGAAGATAGTTAATTTTCAATATAAGTGTTGTATAGAAAAGATAAATTGTAAATTTTAAGTTATAAGAGTGCCTAAGTATTAAATAAATTAATTAGTAGGTACGTTATAAATAAATTATGAATAAACTGTTTTTAATAAATAAACTATTTTTAAATTAAACAATCGTTACAGTACCTTAAATTCTTTCAATGATTTTTCTCCATAGATTTCGTGCATAGTTAGTTCTTCGTTTCGGCAAAGTTGACAAAGAAATAGATTATAATCTTTATGCCAATAATCGCCATCGCAAATTTTATTACATTTCTGACATGAATCCACAGCTTTCTTCACACAAATCATTTCAACGGAATTTACTGCTCTAGGAAATCCAAAATTATCCATAAATTTTGATCTCCGACATTTTATTTTTTTATTGATGTTGTATGTTCCTGGTCTATTAACAAAATAAGATCAAATACAGGGTAAAGGTGTGTACATATATACCGAAAATGCCTTGATGGGCAATGATCGATAGGCGACGTAATAACAAATAGATGTACTAATTTAAATGGACATACCAAAGATTAGCGCACCATCGCACCATACATTTGTATTACATCGATTGACATCTACTTAACCATGGCCTATCGGTCATAGATCATCAAGGCATCTTCGACCACCGACCTTGATATTAAACTGGATGGCTATTTGCAATTCAAATTAATTTTCCCGCGCTCTGAAAGTAGGATGGAAATAGGGACCGTGCGTGAAATATAGAGGCAGCACTACTGCCGAAGTTAGCCCTATCTAGTGTTTAATTTTAGAATTAAATGGGGTAAACATTGCAAGTAAATAATAAAGGATATTTTTTAAAATATTAAATATAGTTAAATATAGATACCGGCCCGTACCAAACAATCGAGTACATGATCAAAATATAAAATGTAAAACATTATTAAAATCTGGACATGTATATACATTTTAAGCAAAAAGATTTAAATGGCTAAGTGACAATAAATTGTAAAGTTGTACCTCAAACAAAAGTATCCAATGTCAAAATATCGGTATTTAGTAACACTAAATTTAAAAGTATTACAATAACATTTAAAAAATGTAAATTAATAAAAAAGATTGGGAATAATAATAATAATTCTTTTTAGCTTTATGGGCTTTATGTTAGTCGAAATGTCATTCATCCACTGACGTTTATGAGACGCCCAATGATATACATATTATAGATTGCTCACCCATCTATAAAAAAAAAATACTAAAAGCGGGTTGCAATGTGCCTTTCCTAGTGCTCACTAAATAGAGCCGTTCTAGCCCAAATGTGTTTTAATATAAAATTTCAGCATTTTAATCTTTAGAAAATGAAAATAATTAAAGTTTTACTTCAAGACACGTTATTATGTATTTGGAAAGTTGAGTTTCCATGTAGTTAAATAATATTAAGAGATCTAAATAATTTTTAAAACAGATGGATATAAATAATTTTAGACCACTCTCATTTCAGAAATAACACTACATAAAATACATAATTGCAATATGTAATACAATTTTGAAAAGGAAATGTAAAAAACTTTGATATGAGATATAAACAACTTTGGTAAGAGTTGTAATTGGACACATATATTATTCTGAATAATGATTAATGGTAATGTCACTAAAAAAATTTACAAAAATCACTGGATTTTTAATATTTTAAAGTTTGTTGCAATATCTTTTGCAATGTTTTATTTATGATTTGTTTATTTTAGTAATAAATGAGAAATAATTAATAAATTGTAAAGAGGGCTATGATATTTTTGTCAAATTGGACATACTTAATTCACAGTAACATTCTACATTAGTTTTAATCAACAGAATAAACCATTAATTATCTGTAAAATTATATTTATATAAAATGTTCATTTAAATATGTAAAAATCTTAATGACAAGAAAATACTAAAGATTCTAATTTCTAAACCGGTTCTGTAAATGATTTCTTTACAACTAACAATAAGTGCTCAAAATTGAAACAAGCTAGATAAAAAAAAAAGTTTGCCCAGTGAAATACGCTTTTCGTCGTCTGATTTACATATGGATAAGCAATCTATGTAATTATGTATATCATTGGCTGTGAGACACTAATTTTACTCTGTGGAAATTTATAAAATTTCTTTACTATCGAATGAAATCCTGGTTTCCAAAGTAACGTGTTCGTACATCCACGGATGCAACAAGTTTTTTCGATAAGGATATTACGAAAATAATTCGACTTTATTTAATTAATAATTATTAAACAATAAATGCCCTATAAAATATTGATAAATACCCCCACAAAGTTCAAATTTTTGTCACCAGTTAGCGTTAAAGTCATGACGCACGGTCCCTTGGCATACCAATGAATTTTTTGTAATAAAATTTTGATCCAAAAGGTAAAGTTCAACTTAAAGATATTAATCCTAGTGTCAAGTTAGGATTTCTGTACAAAGGTTACCGATGTTACCGCGGTTATTTTTGTCACTGAATTTGTGACATTCACAGTATATTTTTGAGTGTCACTTTAATTAAATAGTATTAGATTTGTTACAATTTTAATAACAACGACAACACTTATCCTACTTACACATGTTTTAAAATACACCCTCAGAGGGCGTTTCGCATAGCTTGAATCGCGAATATGACGTAAACCCTTCATATAAGCCCTGTTCTTAATTTCTAAGCCGACTTAGGTGAAAAAAACGGTCGGTGCGCATGACAATATGGACGCCAGACTATCAATGTCGAGCATTCTACGTCACCTTTTCCACGGGCGTACTATTTTAATAATTATTATTATTGGAACATTTATTTTAGCAGCGTATTAATAAAAAAATCATTTTTAAGTGATTTTCTTAAAAGGTGTGTAGTTGAACGTAATAAGTGTTAAATTTAATTTTGATGTTCCTTTTTAGTTCATTTCGATACGCACGTGTGGGCGCCGGAGTGTCAAATATCATCTCGCTATGTTCGAGAATGGATTAATTTCTTAATTTATATTTGCGTTATCTATTTTGACACTTTGCCCCACCTAAACGGTTAATGCTTTGGACCTTTTCGAAGAACCAAGAGATATCGATGTATCGCCAACGCAGTAACAAGTTCGTTCGCCACCGCCTAATTTTTGTGCCTTCGCTTTATGTGTGCCGCTCGCCGACCAGTCCAATATTCCAAAAGGTAAGGTGTCAAATACGTTTATTAATTTATTTAGTTTGATTATTTGAATCAGCCCTTTTTGGCAGCATAACATCCGTTCTGTTTCACGCTATGTGTCTTGATTTTGATGATCGGCTTTGTTCTTCCAGTTTAATATACAGTGAGCATCATAAGTCTGACCCGGAGAAAAAAGTTTGACCCAAAAAGCACTTGTTAACTAGACTATATGGTTAGAAAAAAGAAAAACAGTCAATGACCAATAAAAATTAACAGTTCAATACGCATTCCAACTGGTGTATATTTTTATACAGTCAAGAAACCGTAAGAAACCAGCGCCTGCGCATTGAATTGGTTCAAATAGTTTCGTGACCGTTCAGAGGACGATATAAAAGTCATTCATTGGAAGAAACCTTATAATAGTTAAAATTTAATTCAAAAATATGTTCATGTACATGCAATCTAAGACTTTTAAAATTTTTTTTGCGAGAATTGAGGTATTAGCTTATTTTAAGACAAAGGTATACAATTTTTTTTGTGGAAAAAATTAAGTCAAATGTTGAAAACACTATTGTTTTTATACAATTAATTAAAAAAATAAAATCAAATAAAGAAAATCTCAAAGCCACATGTCACAAAATAATACGAGCGACCCGGAAAACAACTACTTCTTTGGCTATTAACATAACAGGCACTGAATTATATCCAAAAGAAAAACAGTAGAGAAAGATAATAATTTTCAAGAGCATCTATCAAATTGGAGTAGTATTAAATTCAATATGGCAGCTAAAGGCGGGCTTTTTCAAATTTTAATTTTTGCAAAAATGTAATAAAGAAAATCAAACAAAAAAATAATTGGTTTAATTTTACTATATTGACTCTTTTATGATTTGAAACTAGTCAAATATTTTGCCAATTTATATTGTTTTGTGATTTTACTTCATTATATTTTTGCATTATTTTTAAACTGGAAATAAAATGCAATTTATTTTATTTAAAAAAAATGTTATTACAGTAAATTAATGCCGCATCATATAATTTGTCTATTTAAACATGGAAATGCTCAGGCAAATATGCATTTACACCATTTAAATAACTTAATATTTATAAAACAAACCTGTCAAAAATGTTTTCTGTAACAAAATCAACATGTATATTGCTCAAGACCTTTATAAGAGTTTTACGACTTAGGAGTGGCAAATGGAGTGGGGTAAAATGCTTGTCAATAGGCTTGACATGCGACTCTATGGGCAAAGACAGGTTATTTTTCATCTCACTCGGGAGTATTTATAACAACCATTTTCTATTTCACTTTGTTATTGTCTGATCCACCAGCATGTGGATTGAACAATAACAAAGTGAAACAGAAAATGGGCATTATAAATATTCCCGAGTGAGATGAGAAATAAAAATGGCTGCGCCCATAGAGTCGCATATTGACAGCCGATGTTCTCTACAATTAGTAATCACACAAAAATTTGTTTACGTGCTAACATGTATGTGTGGGCACTTTCGTTCTTTAGAATATGGTTGATTTTGCTTTTAACATGTGGACCATTGGGCCCTTTACCATGTGGCCGATTTGATTCTTTATCATGTGTACATTTGGGTCTTTTTTCATGTGGGTGATTTGGCCTTTATCATATAGACATTTGGTCCCTTTTCCCTTTAGCACTTATATATGAACTGTGTGCAAAATGCTAGGTCTATGAATAGTTTTGTATGTTTAAAATGTTTGTTAATGTTGTTTCTTTTTATATGCTTATGTGTTAAATTTTTTGTGTCTTGTTCGTCTTAATAGTGTTAATATAAACACGTACACTTTACACTTTATGTAAATATGTCCCAATTTTGACGAATTTGAAGGGTTTTGAGCACTTTCTAGATTTTAAGGTAAATATATGAAAAAAACCGAAAACCTTTGCAAGCATCTCTGTATCTGTAACGTGTGGAGGTTAAGTTACCCCCACGGCACTTAGGCCTCATTAGGCCCATTGTGCATCCTCCTAAGATGACATGCACCTCCTAGCTCGTGAGCCAGTCTATAGATTAATGTAGTTGACAACGTTGCCAAGAGGTGCTTCTCTTATATAGGCCGGTGTTAGCCGATACTCGCCGAACACAAATCTTCTAATAAATGAGAGCGTCGAGCAATCGTAAAGGGTATGCTCGATGGTATCATCTTCTTGTTCGCACCCTCTGCAGAGTGCGGATTCTGACAGCCCCATGATGTGGAGATGCTTCCATACATGGCAATGACCAGTCAGAATGCCTGTAACTAGGCGCAGATTCTGTCTAGTCATAGTCAAGTATTTGTTTGCTGCAGTGTTGTCAGGATAACTTAAGAGCTCCCTAGCAACTCTGCAGTTTCATCCCATCTTTCCTTGAATTTCACAAGCATATGAGTGCATCAACAGTACATAACGATGCAATTTTTTTTTTTTTCGAAAATATCAAAGGGAGTACTAAACTCACGGTAAATTGCTGTAACTACTAAAGGGAGGGAGTGAAAAAAGTTTTATTGATGGTGCATATGAGTGCATCAGGAGTGCATACCGGTGCAATAGTTTTTTTGCTAAAACTCAATTGGGAGGGGTAACTTCACGGTAAAGAAATAGCTATAACTACTAAAGGGAGGGGTGCAAAAAGTTTAATTGGTGGTGCATATGAGTGCATCAGGAGTGCATACCGGTGCAATATTTTTTTGTGAAAAAATCATTGGGGGATCAACTTCACAGAAAAGAAACAGCTATAACTACTAAAGGGAGGGGGTGTAAAAAGTTTAATTGGTGGTGCTTATGACAAGTACTAACTGGTGCATTAGAGTAAATCTTAAAATTTTCACGGGGGGCTAGCGTTTATTTGCCCCACCCACAAAGAGATAGCTGTAATTTCTAAAAGTTGGTGGTGCAAAAAAAAATAATTAGTGGTGCATATTGGTGCATCACTAGTGCATTATGGTGCAATAGTTTTTTTTTTTAAATATCATTGGGGGCCAACTTCACGGACCTGGTTTAAATGGCACATGGCTCTGAGATTTTCTTGCTTTTCTTTATTTTACGTCATTACATTTGAGTTTGGATTTATGTCTCTTAAAAAAAATTGTTGAGACCACCATTAATGAATTTTCAATGAAATTCTTAGGTATTATAGAATAGGAATTATACAGGGTGCCCCATAAGTCATAAATCAAACAAAATGTAGCAACTCGAACCGAAAGTGCCCTATATCACACGCGTATAAATAAGAATTTACTTTCCACCCGTGTACGAATATATTATTTTCCGCAGAAGCTGTCACAAAATGTCAAACACCTAATTTCTATTTTGATCTATGTAATGTCCATATTAATACTAAAATCGATATGATTTTTAAATTATTGAAATTGTAAATTAGATCCTAGATATTTATCTTTAACAATTAGTATTAAAATAATTTTAAAATAATGTTTGCTCTTTATTCTGGTTAAATACATAACCGATTAGGTCATTTAATTGACACACGGGCAATTAGCTCAGGTGGTTAGAACATCGAACATCAACTTTGCTATTTGAGACCGCGTTCGAATCCTGCCGGGGCAGAATTTTTTTTTTGTTTTTTTATTTTTTATTTTGTTTAGAAAATATGAAAATTAAATAAATACGATTATTGTTGATTATTTTTTTAAATACATTTTAATTTTTATAGTAATAATAACCTTGGTTTTACATTTTTTGATGACATTATTTTGTGGTCGTAGGAAAAATATTGTACATCACTTGTGTGAAAAGTGTTTTTCCACACTCGTAATGTAATATACTATACCGGTCCCTGTTTTTTATTTTTCTGATCGCTGTTTGATAATACAGTCTGCCTTGATTTCGTTACTATGGTAACAACGTTCCGATTTATTACCAAGTGACAGTTCGTTAATTTTTAATTTGTTGTTTATGTCAAACTTGTTCTCGCAAATTTAAAAATATGGATTCAGATTTTGAATTATCTGACATAGAAAATAATATATTTGGTTAGTTTATGCATTTTTATCCATTATCTAGTTTTAGTATTTGTTATGCACTCTAATAAATAAAATATATGATTGAGTTTACATCAAAGTGTCGGTCTTAAAAAAATATTGTACGCTACGCAACCGAAAATTAGTATTTTGCAGGTCTATCCAAGCTTTCAGGTCTCGCCTATGGCTCGCCCTGAAATCTGCTTGTCTCGACCTGCAAAACAGTAATTTCCGGTCTTGTAACGTAAATTACTATTACCGGACACATTAAGGTAAATTTAAAAATTGATTATCATTACAGAGCCAAAAATATTTGAGTTTTGATTGACACTAAAACTATCTAAAAAAAAAAATAATATTACTATATACCCTGGAATAGAGTTGAATTGTTTTCCTTTAATCTTGCTGCTAGAAGAAAATGGAGCGGCATTTTGTTTAAATTTCGTCAAAAACTGGCAAGTGCTGTATCTTCCAGGTGATGGAATTTGGTAACTTAACGAATCTTTGAAACGAGAAGCTGTATTGCAGAGTGGTGTCATCCCTTTTTTCGTCCTTACCTATTAAACATCGTATTGTACTATTTTTGAAGAATTGCAACGAAATTTAAAACAATTTATAAATTTTATTAAAAATCAACTTCCCATACTTTTTAAACAAAAAAGAAGTGAGTTGCTCAGTGACCACCACTGAACCAGCACTGGTAAAATTCAAATGGTAACTCCTTAAAAGGCATTATTGGTAGTCCCGGAGAGTTTCTAAGAGTACTATAATTTTTTTGGAATACCAATTTTATAAAATTCTATTTAAACTTTAGAAACGCTTTCTGAAAAATGTTTTTAACTATATGGGCATATTCCAATGCTGCCAACCGTATCGCGTAACTGCGTAAAGACCTTTTTTAAGTATCGAAATTTGTGTCTATCAATATGTGATCATATATTTATTTAAGTATTTTTATAAAATCGCTTTAGTTATATTGAGATTTCTTAAATGTTCCGTTTTATTTTTATGAAAATATCTACGGAAAATACCTTATTAAGTTTCAAGTTGAGAGATGTATTTTTTTCTGTGTTATAACAACCCGGCCCAGTCTTCGGAAAAATCTCTGGCATTTGTATTTTCTGATAAGTAGTAAGTCCCTTTCCTATAGGACTTGTGCTCCTGGGTACAATCGTACCAAAACATATTCGATCTTCTTTTTTTGTTTTTACAATATACTGAAAACCATCTGAAAAAAAAATTGTAAATAAACATGAAGAACATTCAAAAGATATTACAAGAAGACTAAATTCCTATCTAATGAATGGATAATTAGAGAGTGTTTCCACCACACTAAAGGTTTATTTCTTGCCTGTACTATCTCTGCGAATGGATGTTTATATTTTAAGTTTTTGGTGATTTTTTTTGTCAATATAACAGCCTACATATTGTTTAATTTTTTTATCAATATAACATCCTACATATTGCTTTATTTTTTTATTTAATTCCATTTTTACGATATCTCACCACCGTGACGAATGTTATCGGAAAAATCTAATGTGTTCAACTCATGACTTTCCTGTGTAATAATTAAAAAAAAAAAATACTCGTGGCACTCGAGGACTGCCGCGGTAAAGCTATTGCATAGCATTTTTTACCAACTTATGCAATTATAATTATTTATTTATTTTATTTATGCAGTATTTTTTTTCTTTGATATTAATTCAAGTTTTTTCTTTGATATTAATTCAAGTTACACTTTTTGAGCGTGGTGACCGATAAGAAAACAATTTTTTTTCTTTTATTGAATAAATGAGAAGTTAATATTGTTTAAAATATTTTTATTATCTTACAATACATGTAGGTTATTCAGGATTTTTTATCATTGAAACTATAGGTCTATGGTAACTGAAATAAGAAACATAAGTTTGAGACTTGATATCCTCTAAATATCTGGAAAATACCGCGTCAATGGTGGTCCCATATTTTGTTGTGGATTCTTGTGTATCATTATTCATTTTCAAATTCAATTTTCAGGAAATTGTGTCTAAAAGAGATAGAATCAGTTAGCAGCTAGTCTACACGCATATGTCTAGTCGCACGCACACAAACACCGTGCCGAAGTCTGCCGAACTGAAACGACGTTAGACGATGCACGGCTTTCAACGCCGCACCGCTGTGCCGGTCGATTTTTCGATTTTTCGATTTTTTATTTTTCGATTTTTCGATTTTTCAATTTTTCGATTTTTTGATTTTTTGATTTTTTGATTTTTTGATTTTTCGATTTTTCGATTTTTCGATTTTTCGATTTTTTATTTATCGATTTTTTATTTTTCGATTTTTCGTATGAGGCATGCCGAGGCCAAACCGAATGCCTCGTACGACGCATTATCTATAAACGAAAGGTGGACGCACGAGGGGCTGTTCGCCACTGATCCAGTAAATTAGCGATCACGCAACCATATACCCAGAACATTTGTAAAATTAAAACAAAAATGAAGGATGAGGATGACGTCGCAGAGTTGAGTGCATATTTTATTATTTTATCCGACACATTAAAGAAAAAAGGAAAGAAAGGAATCGATGGCCGATTTCCTGCCAAGGATATTCTTTTTTTTGGTGTTGTAATAGAACTGGGCGTTTTGCTCTCTTAAGATATCACATTGATTATTTAAATCTCGCTATAATCTGTACGGTACTGTATGGTACAAATTCCCCGTCCAGACTGAGCACGTACTGCGCATTGCCTCCCTCTGATGTACCGCCAACAAACGGTTCGGGGCGAGGCCGTACGGCGTACACAACGAGGCAATTTGCCGCGCCTCGGAAGCCCGTCCACATCTGCATGCTCATGCGTCCTCGGCTTGCCTCATACGCGTACGTGCTCAGATCTCTAGCAGAAACAGGTATTTTATTTATATGAAACAAACAAGATGCTGGACATACAGGAACAAAAATTTGGCAAGATACCGCCATCAAAGTTAAAAGTCTTTATGGAAGGGGTCTCTTGTGGATTAAAAAATCCAACAGTAACAGGAAATCGTTTAATAATAACCCACATTGGAAGCACCGATGAATTTTTGCCAGATGGTTTATTAATGTTCGAGTAAAAACAAACAAAAGACTACCATGTAGAAATGGTTGGCTCTAAATTTGAAAATTGGGTTCAAAACATTATAAAAAAATTCCAACCAACTCCATTATTGTTTTGGATAATGCATCCTATCACACAATTAAAAGGTTATGTTTCTTGAAACAATACAACATTTTAATTACCTGATGTGCGAAATTTGTTTTTGGAGGCAGTTTCAGATGTAAATGGAGAACATTGAAGAAAATTCATTAATCATGTTAAAAAGGTGGATATTCATTTTGGAAAGTGGATATAGCAATGGAAAACTTAATAGACCCTATAGGTAATAATAAACCTCAGAAAAGACAATGATAATGATGATGCCAGTAGTTATAGCAAAGATAGTAGCTTTTAAAAATAGTTCTTGAACTTTTTATTTTTTTAATCTCTGCTTTTAGCTACTGAAGTGTTACTTTTAAGATTTTAATCCCATTAACAACATATAGTTCTTGTTATTTTTTAGTTAAATTTAATACGTTCAATGTTAAAGTGTCAACCGAATTGAACAAGTTCAAAGCAAATTCTGTAAATAATTGCTATTTAAGTTTCACTTTCCATACTGGGATTTGTCTTATGAAACAACAGTCATGAAACGGGATTGATACTCTGTGGTATGCAATACCTTAAACGGAGACGTAGGGATGCAACCCAACAAATATTTTGTGTGGGAGAATAAAAGGCCCAATAACTGTTGCCCTCCAATTATTGTAATTATGGTCATTTAACTTTAATAATTAAAAGGCCTACATATATACGTCCTACGGCAGACAGTCGGACCGAAGTCACTCTTCCTTTAATGTCTAGAAATAAATATTTTGGCAATTAACGGCCTATTGATGGGAAGTTAACGGAAAATTTCAGGCCTTTTACCATATTAATACTAACTGCTGAATAAAGGCCATGTGCCAGGCACACACGATACAAAAAATTACAGAGGTATGATATTCAGCCGACGAAATCTCGCCGAGTTCGCACATGACGTATCGTGGTGTGGAATATGGCCATGAGCTGATAAACATTTATTTTATCGCGATGTTTTCGATTAGTTGATATGTCAAATTTGTAAAAACCACGCCTCCATACCACAGTACGTCACCGTGACGTAGTATCAATTCTCTTTATAGTATCATCCAGACACAAGACCAAACAGGTGATTTGGTAGTGCTTCTCTGACCCTCCTGACCAGTAGCACTGTGGAACTATAAATTCTATACTAAAGAAGAAGGCATTCCAATACAGAATTATTGTAGACATTTTATTTAATTCAGCTATATAATATAATAATAGAGAAAAATATCTCCTACAAAAAGTATATTCATAAAATATTCTAAATTAACAACATGTAAAAGTAAGAAATTACAATGAATACTGAATAGTGAATATCATTATACGAGACTGGCCATAATACATGTCCACTCGTTAAGTATCCCATACAGAACACATTATTTCAGAAGTGTTTCAGAAATATTTCAAACATATAACATTTCAAGCACAAGTTTCTAAAATATTTCTGAAATATTTTAATTAAATATATTAAATATTGTCAACAATTAATGAAGAATTTCTGATTTGTAAGAAGAAGATGGAATATGTAGTTATTTTATTTCCATGTCCCTGTCCAGCCACCAGCTAGAAACAAGCCTATATTCTATATAATTATAGATTTGAGTAGTTGGTTTTTGATATTCATGCGTTGTGAACTTGTTTTATGGGAAGCAGAATATGTCTTTAGAAATTAAGGTGAGAACTACATAAATAATGCTTGCTTAGGTACACCTTCATGTTTTGTTTAGACATGAGTATTGTTTTATTACAGTTAATTTAAAACAATATTAATGAAACTATTGTTAATCAAATAATTTGTATAAATCCTTTTTAATTACCTATATTTTGTTTCACATTAGGGCATTTAAAGGAATTGGTGAAGCAATTTTCCAGTAAAAATAACATCCAAGTTACATATTCATTGTTTCCAGAATAAAGTATAAAGGAACATCGTCGATGCATCCTGGTACTGCCGTAATACTGACTTCATAGGGACCTTAAAGTGGAGACTGTTGAAAATACAATACAAAAATTTGCCAGTAGTCACCAACAACGACTGCTCCAACATGTTATCTATAGCTCCTCAACAATGTCAATCTAATAAGAAGACTCAAGAGAACTAGGTCTTTTGAGTTAGTTCAATAATGTTAGATTAAAACAGAGTATAGTGCGGTTAAGTGTTATACGTTAACGGTAGTGTAACTAAATAATTAGACTCTAAAGTACACTATATAGTGAGTAGAATCTTAGTTTATGAAGTTTTCATTCCTAAATAAGTTAGGTAAAAATAAAATTGCTAATTGATCTTAATGATTAGATTATAATAATCGTAAATGTTTTTTTTATTTAGAGCATTTATTAAAAAAAAAAACTAGTTGTTTCAAATTACTGCATTTAAAGGAATTGGTGGAAATGAAGCAATTCGCTTCTATATTTTATGAAATATTCTTTAAAACATATTTATTTATTTGTTTGCTTAAGAATCAATGTTTGAGTTTTGTGTATTTTAAATAAACATGTATATTTTTAAATGTCTTTTTGGGGAAGCACCCCAAAACAGGCACATGGAAAAGCCTTCATAGGCAGACCATGTCCCAAAAGAACTGGAGAACTACTCTTAATGAATAGGAACTAGTTGAAAGTGATAACAGGGTTCATGACTGGGCACGCCCCAGTAAAGGGACACTTGAACAAAATTGGCATGTACAATGGGGAACTCTTGTGCCGACTATGTCACAAGAAACCAGAAACGGCCAAACACATACTGTGCGAATGCGAAGCTCTAGATCGCAAAAGACAGGCTCTTTTTGGACAACCCCAGGTTGATCCAACAAAGTATAGAACCCACTCACCCAAGGATCTGTACAAACTTGTACAAGGTACAAAGGTGATAGAGTGGGTGCTATGAACTAACATGGGGTAAAACACAATAAGCCAATAGGCTTCAGTGTTATTCGGAGACACATAGTCAGACGAGCCCAGGAGAGAAACAAAAATGTCTTTTTTAGTCTAATAATATATTAGAGAAAAAAACTAGAATACATGTCTTAAATATTACTATTTAATATTTTTAAAATATTTCAAATTTTCATTTCAGAAATATTACTGTGAAATATTATATTTATAGAACATTTTTACGTTTCAGGCATATTTCAGAGGAGTTCTGGGATGTTTCGTAATATTTATATAACATTGCAAATATTTCAATGTTGAAATATTTCCGAAATGTGTTTGTGCTGTATGGGATGTAGCAAGCGATCATTGGTGTCTCCATCTATGAACGCGGGACCGACCTATCTTGGACTGTTGGGGTTGGGTCTGCGGCAGTTAAAAGCCTTTGGACCTTTACCATGACTTTGCCCAATACATTTATTTACTGTTCATAAGGCCCTTCAATTACAGCAAAAGGCCCAGCAATATCGGGCAATTCATTGTTTGTTGGTAAAGCTACATTTTCTTTACAAAATAATTAATGGCGACATTACTTGTGAAAGATTATTGGCTCTTGTTAAATTCTTTGCCCCGTTGGATAAAATCCATTGTACAAACTATGGGTAAAAAGCTTTCATGAATAGGCTTTTTTGCAACTATATCAACCACAATTTTTACATTGATATTTTTATTAATTGTATTTTTCGAATTTTTAAATTTTAGGTAGATTTTTCTAATTGTTTTGTGATTGTCTTGTAATGATGTTACACTTAGTTTTAAGACGTTAAATGTATTTTAGAAATGTGTTTGCTAGTTGTTTTTTTGTACTTTAATTGTTGTTTTAGTTCTAAGATTGTGCCATTTGAAATTGTTAATTCTGTGTAGTAGTAAATTATATTTTTAATTTATTGGAATATTTAAAGAAAAAAAAATATTTCGTCTACCAAAGTTCTTTCTGCAAATTTTGCTACTAATTATTAAATAATCAAATTTCTACTTACTCTGATACGATTCAATTTCTAAAGACATAATATGTTCATAACCGAAGCATCTGAAACACAACCTCACTCACGTTACTAATATTTGCGTGTAGTAAAAAAATTATCCTGAAATTCGTGACTCGATATTAATAATATTGATGCAGTCGAGAAATATAAATCAAAGACAAGGTTAGATTTGAAAAAATACACGATAGAAATTAATATCGGAGAAAGGTACCATCATTCCAGAGCTGTGTTTGTCTTTGAATATCTATGTCAAAAATCAAATTAATGGAAAACTGATTTCTTAAGGTTTAACCATTTCAGGAAACGACTGTTTTCTAACATTAAAATTGGTGTAAATATATTTTTATGAATTAGTTTAATATTAGAAATATTAAATCTCACAATGTTATCTAATTGCGGTCGGTTTCGAAGTTTTATATTTACTTCATCTTCAGGCAATCTAAATTAGAAAAAAAATATGTTCAGAAGTGCCTTTCCTATCAAATTTACATTACTCACATACGGCTATACCAATACCGTTAATTTTTTAATATTAATTAACGCTTAAGCTATTTAATTATAGGTACTTAAGGTCAAGTTGGTTAACTGGAACCTAATTTTACAACACTTGAATTTGTAACTATGTACGAGACGAACCTGCAAAGAAAATTGGTCAAGATTCTATGGGTACGCAATTTAGACCTTTGTAAATCAACTGCAATAACGGCTTGAAAACAAAAATGTTTTTTTGAGCATCAAGAGAATTTTTTAATTTTTTTTGTCAGTAGATTCCAGTTACCCAGGAATTTGAGGTAACTGGAACTAGGTAGTGTAATTCTGTATTTGTACAATGTAGAAAACTTTGAGGTAACTGGAATATTTCGTAAAGCATAACAGATACTCGTTTAAAATTTCATTTATTTATCTTAAAAAATAGCCGAGAAAATGAAGATGTTAAAAATCCTCTAAGTATTGAAGAAAAAATACTTTATTCAAAATAAGTACTTAAACAACAAATGAAACAACTAAACTAAAGTGGTGTATGAACTTATGTAAAGTATTTAATGATATTTTTTCATTTCAGGTACCATATATGATCCCCTATTATTATTTTGTTAGGGCTCATGGATAACTTTTACTATGTCTATTTCGTCATATGCTAAAATATCGGGCTTTTCAGGCCAACGCCAAGCAAACACCCCACTTTTTACCATGTTAGATATGATGATTTCTGTGTCTTTTACTTCCAACACTTTTCCAGGATACATTTCCATATTGTCCTAACAAGCACAAAATCACCCTCCACGACAGCCACGACATATTCTGCATCCTCATCCGACATCAGTTCTATACAATCTTCTGAATCATCTTCACTACTTTCAGTCTCAGTTTTTAGTGTTCTTCGATTCTATATATTTTTTGATATTTATTTGGAGTTTTTTCTCTTTCGAAGGATCTATGTTTTGGATAGAGTTCACTTTTTGAGCTATTTTCTTAGACTTTGTTTCTGCTCGGGCTTTCTTTTTCTCCTCTTCCAGTTTTTTATTTTCCTCTTCTAGTTTCTTTTTCTGTAAGTAGTCTGATGTTGTTATAATTTCTGCCCCATTGCAGATCTTTCTTCTCTTTTGTGGTGTCGGAGATTCAGATTTCTTTTTTTCATTTTTTAGTAGTTCAACCAACAGACTTTCAAAGAGATTCAGACAAATATTGCTTTGGGTGTTTGAAGGTCCAGGTTTGTCTTCAGGCATCAACTCCTTTTTACCTTGTTGCTCATGCACTATATATTTGTTTGGTGTTCTTTGTTCCATTTGATGAATTGTTCCATTTTCTTTGTTTTCATTAATTTCTTGCTCTTTCGTTCCAATAATCATCTCGTTTTGTTTACCGTGGCAATTTTGTTCGATCTGGTTTACCTGTATCTAAATTATAGATACCTGTTGCTTGAAACCCATTTATAATGTTCTGTTTAGGCATTTCCAAAAATTCCTTGTCAAGATGATGCGTAAATTCAGTTTTAAGAATTTTTCTTCTTGGGTTGAGCCTTTGCCATTTACAAATTTTTTTAACCCATGTCGCTTTCATGCTCTTAAATACACCAACATCGAGTGGCTGAAGCAGATGGGTTGTATGTGGTGGTAATTTTAAAATACATATATCATTAGCAAGGACTTTTTGGATCACATTACACGAAATATGGGTCCATCTACAATTAAAAGGATCGGACGTTTCTTTGGTACGTGAGGTAAAAAACATTTTCTAAACCAATTCGCAAATATTATGGTCGTAATCCATCCCTTATCCGAAGCGTCTATAGCAATTCTATCTAGTGGTTCAGGTTTTTCAGGTAACATCGACTCGATAACATTTTTTCCCTTGAAAATAGTTAACAAATACAATTTCTGGCCTAATGCTGAACAACATACTAACACTGTGGTATTTTCTCTGCCGCATGTAGATATAGTCTTTGTAGCTTTTGTACCCACTGCCCCAAGAAATTTTGTTTTTGAAGGGTCACTGGAGAAGGATGTTTCGTCGCAGTTGAATATTTGTTCAGGTCGATTCTGTAACTTTAAGTTTAAAATTGTTTCTTCTAGAAGATCAAAGAAACCGTACTTTGTCCAAGGGTTTTCTTGCCTTTTTCTAGCCACCTCTACTCCTTGAGCTTTTTTGAGAGATAGCTTATTTCTTTCAAAAAAATTCAAGAACCATTGTTCTCCGGGATGATTATTTTTGAATTTTGTAATATTTAAATTTCTATTCTTCAAATATAACTGCACTAAGTCCAACGTCTCTTGGCGTGAAAGCCCATATCCCCACTTTTGCATTCTATTTAATGTAGAAACTAGTTGCTCTTCCGCATCTTTAGTTAAAGCATTTTTTTCTACCTCCTCCGTTTCCTTCTTTAGCCAAAATAACAGTTCCTCTTGTACCTTTGATATAATGTCGTAAGGTTGACTTGGGAATGTTATAAAATTTTGCTGCGACGTACATGGATTTATTACCATTTTTAACGTCCTCGGCAGCATGAATAAGAGCTTCTCGGGAATATCGTTCACCATCTGCCCCTTTTTTCGGTACGACGCTGGTAATCACGTACCATTGAGTAGCGACAGCTGGGGAACCGAATTCTAGTGCGCCGACGCGAAATAGAGAGGCGAGACGTCTTCTAAAGCCTTGGTTTCTTTGAACACTCCGTCGCGGTGAGCGGACAGTCCGTCGACCGCTGAGGACAGCAATTTTCGCCCGAGATGGTTTGTTAAAAAATATAGAAAATGATACTTTCTCTATGTCTGTACGTGCTGTTTATGTATTATGAATGTAAACGAAAGGTACTAAAATGGTTGCAAATAAATTGTTTTCCTTGTTATTATTGTTGGAAGAGAAAGAACAAGAGGAACTGGCAATTGCAACCGTCAAAGTTTTCAATAAGCCAGTGAATGAGTTGTTTTTTTGTCGCGATACGGAAGGTGCCTTTAATATCACTGTGCAGTGGAGGCTTTTTGGAAATGAAATCAAATTTAGGGAGTATTTTAGACTTTCTAAAAATAAAGTCATGATGTCATCTGTATGTGAATTTGTCACTCATTGTTTTAAAATTATTAATAATAATATAGTTTCCGCACACGCCGACGATTCCGCTGATATCAAACTCAACAGATATCAACCGACTCTTCGCGACAAATCAGCGGCATGACGCCGTCCTGTTCAACTAAGCAGATTCAAGAAAACCATTCCCATTTAAATACTCTGGTTGGATAAAATCGTCAAAACGCGACGGTTGACGGACTGTCCGCTCACCGCGACGAAGTGTTCAAAGAAACCAAGGCTTAAAGATGTAAACAACCCCTTTCACTTTAGTCCGGCAGCTGATATAGGAATTCGTTGTTGTGGATTTATTAGTGCTCTTTTATTGTGTTTTTGTTAAGATTTTTTGAGGTTTTGTGGGTTTTTCATTATGCCAGGAAATGCATGTGCTATAAGTGATATATATTTTAATATTTACTACATAAGTTAAATACTCATAAATATAAAACTGCCTAATGACCAAACCTTTATTATAAATGTAAACTACAAAAGAGTTTTACTTCAAATTACGTCGAGCAGTGTAAACATCACATTCAAGACCAGTTCATAATTCGAGCAGTGTTTTACTGTGTCGTTCCGTCAAAACCACAGATTTGGGTAGAGGAGATAGGAAAAGGCCGTTTTCCCCGGTGTTTCAAAATAATCACACCATGTAGGCCGCCATGTTGGCAATTTAAGCGTACAACGCACATGCGCAGTTGTTGTAGTGTTTTGACAGAAGTGTCATTTATGTCAACTATTTTTGGTTTCTTTGGAAATTCGCTATTTTAGTGAATTTAAAAGAATTTTAGAAGTTTTTACTATAGACAATTAATAAAATGGGAAAGACTTGTTTTGTTTTTGGTTGTTTAAACAACGAGGATTCAGAAAACATTACATTCCACAAGTTAAGACATCATTTCTACCAGAACCGTATTCTTCACCACAGTTTCATTTTCTAGAAAACGAAATATCAGTACAATAATAACAAACTGTAACTCTAACGTTGATATTACTATAATTTTTTTAGATTGAGGAAAAGGCGTATGCTTCTTGGTTAATAGCTATTGGAAAAAATCATTGGAAAATATAAGTGCAAATAACGCTATTTGTTCCTCCCATTGTCATAAAGATGATTTAATCGTTTCAAAACGAATAGATACAATAAAAAAATAATGCAATACCTTCCATAAATATGCCTAAAATTGAAGATTTTTATAACATTAGTGTTATGAGGTAAATATATACATAAAATTATCAATTTGTTTCTTTTTATACTTTTTAAGAAAGTGATAAAAAATTGTTAATTATCCCTATTATTTTTAGAAATGTACAACCTTCAGCTTGAACGAATATTATTAATTCAGAATCTAACGAGCAATTATAGATGTTGCCAGTTGGTTATTTTTTATTAACGGTTTAGATGGTAATGAAAGAAGAAATGTGGCGTTATAGGCTCTTCTAAAATTGCATGAATATGGAGTTATCATCACCTAATTATCATTTGATGGATAACATTAGGT